ATGTGAAACCTTAGATCGGAGACCTCGAACGTTTTGGTACAGTAATTTAAACGAGTAGCAATAATTGGGTGAGCGAACTAGTTTAAAATTTTAGGGACGCCATTGACATAACGAATTCTCAAATTTGTTTCGCCTCTGCTCAACCGGTTGTTCAGTTCTTCTTTGATCTGCTTGTAGTACTGGTTTTGCTTTTGTGTTCTATCAAAGGAAATAGAAATATTCTTGTACTCAGGTAAGCTTCGTAGGTACTTCACACGTTTAATAAAATTGGTTACTTCTTTCTCGCTACGCAAAGTGACTTTTAGAGGTCTAGTTTTTTCACTGGAAGGGCGACCCAAACGTTGAACCTGCAGATGATCATTATCATAAGACGAATCCATGGCTTTGAGGATTTTAATGGTCGCAACCCGATCTAGTTCTGGAACTTGATCTCGAGAAAAACTACTTGATTGTTCTGGCAGTCCAAAGAGGATTAAATTTTGTTTTCTACTTTGGCGATCTATCACTTCACCAACGAGATCTTCAAACAGGGTAGGTGCTAATTCCTGTTTAGGAATAAAAGATGCCTTAAGATCATTAAGCTGGGTTTCAAAGCTTAGTTTCAAACTGTTGATAGAGGCCGTGAATTCAGCCTGAAGAGCAGAGATTAAAGTCTTCACATCCTTAAATTGCGTCATATTATTATTGCACGAGTTGCAAACCACTTTAAGTGACTTTGATCTGGTACGAGTAAATTTGATATCTGTATCAGTCAACCCTACACAATTAAGATGTAACATTCCATGGCAAACATCACACGGTATGGATGTGGAATTCGATGACTTAGTATCAGAGCCGCAATTTGCGCAAGGATTCATTATAGCAAGGGTAGGAAGGAAGTTAACAGGGGATACAGATCTTCTGCACCAAGGGGTCTTTCAAGGTGGCTAACTGAAAAACAAACAGAAAGACCACGGAAGTAGCCGAGGTAAACACAGGAAAATGGGATATCTAATACACAGTATTTCGTGTCAGGTATAAATGTATCGCTACGTATGTATGACAAAAAAGTGATAACCTGATAACTTACAGCGAGTTGGTAGGATTGACCTCGCATTCGCACATATGTCGAGTTAATTAGTATCCCTAATTATCAAACAGAGATACCTTACTAGTATACGATCCAGTAGAGAATCCGTGATAGCCTGGTTAATGCACACTCAATATAACACTATCAAATTGAGGAAATACATAGAAATTAAGGAGCAAAATTCGGAGCTAACTAACTGCACTGTCACTCTCAGTATAATTTTGTGTATTTTCTAATTTTACTGAGGGGAGGATATAACAATCTGAGCATATGGATGTATCAACGAAAATATTCGTAAGTCGTTTATTGTTTCTGCAGTTGTAGTACGATCTGGGATAATGAGGGCTGAAGAGCTACGTGCTTGTTTGAAGATTCAGATTGAAAAAATTCTCGAAATTTGTGTCCTGCTTGCGTGCAACAATGTGTCTTCGTGGGTAATCACGGTTGATGAAGGTAAAACAAAATGTTCAAGCGGAAACTAACAAGTCGTACTTGTCGACGGAAACCCTCTGGTGTGGTATGGAACTACAAACATGAGGCTATGAGCGGAAAAACGGGCCAACCCACAAAAATTGTATTTTGGGTTGCTTATGTAGTATAAACCGCAATTTTTTCATTTATTTTACGATAAAATGGACTAAACCATCTTCTTCCTCTAACCAGTAGGTGGCCGCACAAATACTGTTTTGCCATTTTAAGATTTTGTGATCAGCACGGAAGCAAAACGGACCAAGCCATATTAAGCCAGGAAGAAGAATCCGTTTAAAGTAATTGAAATGACGAGTGCCAATTTTTTTTCTACCAAAGCTCTTGAAAATAACATTACAAACAGAAAAATTGCAGAATCAAAAATCAAAGTGTCGTGGTTAAACATCCAGTGGTTACGATTTCAAAAGCAATGTTCTTATAATATTCAGTTCAAATATTCAAATCAGAATGACGTACCATTCGAAATTGTTGATATTGGTAAAAGAAAAGCAACAATAGGGAAACCAAAACTGCAGTTGCTTTACCCAAATGGAAACCTAATCAACGATTTAAAAAAAAAAGGTCTTCTCTTGCTAATAAAATTCATTCCTCCTGTTTTTCACGACTTTTATTAAAACCTTCGAGCTTCTGCTCAGGGAACTGGGGGAGATTTAGGTGTGGAGTCCGAAAATGAAGAACATTGAGATGAATATTCTTCTCAAGGTTTATGGCGCTTTTTTATTTTTGAATAAAAAGAAAAAAAATTGTGTTTTAATAACTATTTTGCATTAATAAATTATGTTTTCTTATATTGGTTTCATTAAATTTTGAGCTAAACACAATATACATCAATAGCAAAGTGGACTAATCCACAACAAAAACCAAAAACAAGCAATTTTTTTCAATAGTTTGGTATTTTTCTTAAGCCAACACAGTCTTTTTACATTTGAAATATGTTGCAATACGTAAAAGCAAACATTACATTGTCTAGGCGACTTTAAGTTTTCAGCACATTTTCAATCCCATTTTTTGGCATTCGTTCTTAAATGGGTTAGCCCGTTTTGCCGCTCATAGCCTCACATTACAAATTAGGAGAAGTTTAGCTGGTGCACTTATTTTTCTTGGAGTAAACCCTCTGTCTTGAATTTTGATTTTCTTAACAGAGGTAACTACCACCTATTGGTTTTCCTCAATCTGAGCTTCTAAATCGCTTCACTTTCTCCAGTTTTACGGAAACTTGTAAAAAATTCTTTGTGTTGTTCCTAGTTAAAATGATAAATAACAGTGTTGACTGTCCTTTAATGCTAGCCAGATTATCATTTAATGCACACCCTCGAAGTCTAGTATCTCGCCACTCTGAAATTTTCTACATAGCTTGCCCGAGAACTGATATCGCCAAATTCTCTCCTATGTCCACTATGTGTAGGATCGATAATAGAACACATAATAAAATTGATCTTTTTTCAACATCTTTTAAATTCTTTAATTATTCCCAAATTTAGTAGGCTTTCACATTACTTCGTAAGTTAATTTATTATCTGAATTAACTGATCTTCTATGATTATTGATTACACGTATATTTTGACCTAACCTAATCTGAAAATCTGCATTGGGATTTGGAGTAGCTTTAAACTTTTCCTTTTTGGGATTCACAGTAATTTGTAGCTGCTGGTTAGTTATTCTACTTCTTATCATTTGCTTTCGGTTATTTGTTGGTCTGTAATTGGGTAAATAACCGACTATATATAATAATAATAATATAATATATATAATATATATGTAATATAATAACTACTTAAGTGCTCAACTAATTCACCAACTTTAAATAAGTGCATATTCGATTATTTGAGATTCTAGATACTGAGTTCATCTGTTTAGGTAATACTAGTGATCCGACTGCTACCACATAGTCAGTAATGAAAAAGTCTTTATGGATATCGATGATAATGGTATAATTTCTGTTGTAAAAAGTATATACTACTTACTATATTTGTAAGGGATGTCATGATTTAACGTAGCTGGCACAATGATTTTTGTTTGCAAGAAACTCGTTGGCCAAAAATATATGGGGTAATACGTAGAAGCAAAGGAAGAGAAAAGTGATCCAGAATTAAGTAGGTTCCGTAGCTCATCTTTAGATGCAACTGAAGGGCAACTTATTAAAGTCCTGGACACTGTTTATGATTTCAAAAATTAACTCTTTGTTTAGCCACTATTACAATGGCAAACTATCGTTATCGATTCGCTACTGTTACGGGACCGGGTCGTCGCGACCTCGCGGTTCCAGCGGGGAAGCGTCCGGTCTTTACCCGCGTCGGTACGCCGACTTTGTTCCAGGGTGTCGGAGTGCCCTTGGGGGATGGGGTTCTGAAAAGAACCGATGTGGGTGCCTTGTTTGCTACGGCAAAAAACTGAGCACGGGGTTTTTCGTGAATAAAAGCCTCGATGAAAAAAGAAGGTACGGTTTATTGGGGTTGTCTGGTCGTTTAGCCGCCGGGGCGAGCACTGACGACAACAGACTTCCTTGAAATCCACAACTCAACTGACTATTGCTCTAATTTTACGTATTTTTATATGCGGCTGCTGTCGCAGCCGCGCTCCGATTAGCGGACCGCGGTGTCGCGGATCTCGGACCGCGGTGCCGCAGATCTCGGACATGCTTAAATATTATTTGAATAAAACAACTTATCTAATTCCTTAACCTAATTATCGCACTAATCAGGCCTCCAAATGTTGGCCCGGTAACACTACAGTCAAAGTAATTCTAATTGTATGGAATATTATTGCAGTTTGTACAGCAAAGATAGGGTATCTTCCTTAATATAATGACCATTTGACCAAGTTCTTGAACTGTAATATTTTAATTGTTGTCTCGTTTGATTTTTATTTGACTAAGATTTGTTTGTTTACCGTAATATTATATCGAAAACGATAGGAAAGGCATTTTATAAGATCATTAATAACTATTATAAATTATTCATAACTTGGAATTTGCAGTAGGTATACAATAGTCTGTCTAAAAACATTTTAGTGAATATATGTATTTAATAAATTCGTGGATCAGAAATAGTTTTGTTTTGGTAAAATTTTGTTGGAAAACACCCAGTACAATATATTTTCAGACAAGACGCCATAGCCACCACTAGATTATTTATTATACAATGAAAGTGTAGGCTGTGCACCAAAAAGGCTTTAAAGCAGTTGGCCCTCCTTAGGTAAGCAGATGTTCAACAAACTTTTGGAATCAATAAACCCTCAGCGTCGTATCCATGGCTTCTTATTCCTATTGAACCAACAAACTGAAACGATGCAAAGTTCGGTTGTTTTCCAGTTGAAGTTTTTTACCTGCCTAAAATCTACTGATCTCCAGTGTGTAATTTTTAATTAAAATCAGTATCTCTTTTTCATATTTTAGATATTGAAAGTCGGTATTTTAATTTTTACATAAAAAGAAATTTACATAATGTCGCACAAAACTTATGATGCAGAATGGAAAAAAATCCAACAGTTGGTGGCAGAAACACTACAAAGTGAAGCTGTACAAGTAGATCGAAGAGAGCAACGTCAGTTATTAGCAACTTTATATATTCGTTATATTATGATAGCCAACCAGCTCTCAGAATGTGTAGACCAGATGGTGCAACCGCAGAAAAGACTTCTAATGCGAAAAATATTAGAAGGAACACTTGGAAGAATTTTGGAGCTAAAATATGATTTGGTAGAGGCTGACCTAAGCGAATGGACTCACTGTGGTGACGTTCTGGACAATCTTAAAATTACACCTCAACATAATGAATTGAAAGTACCTTCCTGTTACCGAAATGATCGCAAAAAAGAATTGCAGTATCAACACAAATTGATCGATAGTGTTCTGGGAAAGCTTGGGTTCTTAGATAGACCAGAAACTAAACCGCCAATGACTGAACAACAAGCAATTTTGATTGTTCAAGTCCATGAGAGAGCCAGACAAGGACGACTGAGAGCACAGTTTATGCGGGAAATTAGAAATATGAAAGAAAAAGCTAAGCCGATATTGACTGAAGGGGGAGCTGATGAAGATGACCAAAGAGGAGGCATTAGTTTACCAGCAGCTCTTCGTATTCAGAAGATCTGGCGAGGATATGTTGCTCGCAGAGCAACCCGTAGAAGAAAATTACAAGAAATGTTGCTTATCGGTATGATACCTCAGCCTAAGACTCAAAATAATGATATTATCAAGGATTTAGAAACCAAAGAATACAGACGACGTTTGCAAGAAGAAAGACAACGTTTATATGAAGATGATGTAGAAAAGTGCCGAGAAAATCTCGAGAAGCATCAAAGGGGTGTAGTTTTGGAACAGTTAAGTGATCAAGTGAGAGGATGGTTACATGAGTATAAAACACAGACTGGCAAAATTCCGGAATATACAGGATCCGAGAGAGCAGCATCTCGTTTATTGTTCAGTCGACAAGGTATTGAGTAAAAATTTTACGTAAAATTATTTTGAACTTACAATTTTATAGGAACGGATAGTGAAATGAGCAAATCCACACCTACGCAAATATCCTCCAAAGATTCAAAAACAAAAAAGGACAAAGCTGTCAAACAAAAAGAGGCAAAAAACGAACGTGAGGAAAATGAAGAAGTTACTACTAAAGCGATGATTTCATCCTTTTTGCCTGAATTAAACGCTCGTAAAGAAGAATACGATGAAATATGGAAAAATAAAAACGAAGCAGATAATACAAGGCAGTTTCATTACATGGACATTATCGAGCATGAACAAATGACGGACATGGAGAATGGTCTAAGGAAAATAGTAGATGAAATGATGAAAGGGGAATTACTATTACTGCAGGTATAATAATTTTGATTTTTTTATTTTCGCTTTAATTATGATATCCTTCTATATTACATTAAATTCTCAGAAGCAAACAAAGCGAATCACAATTTAGATTAACATATTTCGCAATTGTATTCAGGTAAAGACCTATTAATTTGATAAATCATCTGAGTAAAGTCCTTTTCGAACGATAGCGGTTGTTATAAGTTTAAGAAATGTATGATTTCCTGGTGGTCTTTTACAGCTTCAAAAATACGAAAATGCCTGTTTTTCCTCTTTTCATCTATCTGATGTCTGTCAGCATCTACTCGGGCAAAATACATTTGAAAGGCGGTTATTGTATATGTACCTACTATACCTTGTTACCATATAATCATATGATCACAGTGAGTTAGAGTTATAATCTAAATGAATTATAAACTTCTTAAAAATCACCACAGTAGCTCTTTCGCATGCTCGTATGGGACAAAAAAAAATAAACGAAAAAGAATATTTATCTATTACTTGCCACCATAAACTTAAGTAATGGTCTTTTAAAGACATAATTAAAGTTGACAAGTTTATTTTATTAGGGGGGACATCATAAAGTTTTGAAAAATTGCACCTGAACATATACATGAACACGGACAGAACTTTAAAAATGTTAAAAAAAATCTAATTTATTGTAACCCACCTTCTGTCAATACACTTATTTTAAAATAATGTAGGTACGTACATGAATATATACCGTATGATCCAAAAGTTTTTTCATAAAGGGAGGCTGTGATCAGCGCACGTAGGACATGTTAGATAGAGAGCAACAGAGAACTAATGTAGAGAACTATATATTAATCACAGCCTCCTTTTGTGAGAACTATTTTGGATGATGCGGTATATTTATTTATTTTACCAAATTATAGGAAGCTATGGACAAAGATCGAGGACATAAGGGCAAAAAGAAAACTAGTAAAAAAGCTAGGAAAGGGGGTAAAAAGGGGAAAAAGAAAAAAGAGAAAGACTTAACACCTGACAGAACAACAGAATCCCTTTTTGAAGAACTAGTGGCTAATGGAATCATTAAGAGGTAAGTGAGTGTGAAGTAGATAGTAGAATCAAAATTACTTAAGAGAAACAACTCATCTAGATGTATGGTAAAAACTAAGTTTAATGGCAATTACAGAAAAATAGATTCTAATACTTTTTTTCTAACTTACCTAATATTTTTTGCATGCGAAGTAAAATGGTAATACCCACATTACAAAATGTTTTTAGAAGAAATTTTAAAAAAATCGGTGCTTTCAAACTTATGCAGAACTATCTATTTTTACTTTCCGAGCGTAGACTGCTTTAATGTTTTTTCGTTAGTATACGAAAAAGTAGGTCTCACGTTTGCGTGTGTCTGTCGTCTGCGTCAATTTTTATTAGACAAATAATAATCTCTGAAACTACTGGACTGATTGTTGTCAAATTTTATATGTATGCTAGGAATATCGTATAGATATTACCCTTGTAACGGTGGTTTATGAATTCGCCTTTATTGTTCCCTAGGCGTCAAAAATTTTGTAAAATACCCAAATTGTATAACAACTTTTTATAAGCGGCGTTGAACACTACGATTCCGTGCCGACCTCGGAGTTGGAATGCGAAAATTGTTTGTTGTTCTTTTTTTCTTACGCTGTTACTCTATATATTTTTTAATGTATATAATTTATCAGTTATCACAAACAAAATATCTCAAAATAAAAATGTATATTTTTTTTAAACGGGAGACTTGCTATTGGACTGTATTTTAGAGGCGAGGAAAGTTCTGGCGCAATAATCTTCGACCAAATTTTTTAATTAAGTTAAGGTTATTTTACCAAAATTTGAAACGAGCTTTACAAAGACATCACAGAAGGATGTACTATACAAATATGGAGTGGGTCCGTTTCTTATTATAAGTATAAGAATTTCTTTGTTTTCAATGTCACTCTTATTATGCATATTGTGATTTGAGAAAGATTTTTTCCTTGACTTTAACGAAATAACCGTTGGTAATTTAATAAATTATTGTGTTTACGTAAATATTCACGTCTATATCATATCACGGAGTATACAAGTAAGTAGTCACGTTACCAACAAAAGCGTGAAATTTCAGAAAATATTTCGTCCTAATTTGCAACCTGATCATGTTTCTGCCGATACCAAATTGCTTTTGCAGTTTCTTGCATCTGTTGATAAGATAGATAAGTATAATAGGTATATTGCTTAAATTTGTACTATAAAATTAATAACTAAAATTAATTTTTAGCGAATATCGATACATCAACAAAGTTAATCTCACGTTAATGTGAACCTGTTTCTGTTAGACAAAGAATGAACCACCGATACATTACATGAAAAATTATACTGATAGAAAAATCGAATTATGGAAATGAAATTGTAAAGAAAAATGTATCAGATATTTGAGAACCTTTTTAAGTTACTGGTAGTGAAAAAAGTTTGTGAATATTTGTGAAATTCCTGAAGTCAATGATTAGTGTAATTGTTCTTTAAACCACATTTTTGTCGTGGAAACTTGTTCAAAAGTTTAAAGACCAAAATGTTCATCCGGCTCGAAGGACTAAATTTATGTACGACCTTCAATCGTCTCGAAGTACTCAAACTGGGTGTGAGCGAATGATGTCTGCCTTTATAGACGTTGTAAACATTGGCTGACCGACAGTTCTTAAACAATTGAAGCGCAATTTCTGATTTTTTACTATGGTATTTTCTTTCGATCATTAGTTAATATTGTTAAAAAAAAATCAGTAAATTCAGTGATTTCGACAAAGTCTAGTACCTAATGATAAAGACTACATTCTTTTTTTAGGTGTCCAGAAGTTTATCTGCAAGATTTTAAAGGAGAACGTTCTTACTATCATCCTGTGGTACATAATAAAGGAAATGAACAACCAGTTGCTTTGGGAGATATTAGACAAGTCATAGCAGAGTACTGTGTTATACCATTATTGTCTCCACAATTACATCAGTCTACACCGCATATAAAATCACTAATGATTGTGGGCCCAAAAGGCAGTGGAAAAGATATGTTGGTCCATGCAATATGCTGTGAAGCAGGGGCTGTACTTTTTGATTTAACACCGTCCAACATTGTGGGAAAATATCCAGGAAAATCTGGTCTAACTATGTTAATTCATTTAGTTGTAAAAGTTTCAAGACTTTTGCAACCTTCTGTAATATATATGGATTCCGCCGAAAGACCATTTGTAAAAAAAATTCCAAAAACAGACAAAACGGATCCAAAAAGATTAAAAAAGGATTTGCCAAAAATTGTAAAAAGTAGATACATATATTGAACAGATATGTACAAAATTTATTCATTAATAAAATTGCAGATTTTAGTCCTGAGGATCGAGTAATATTAGTAGGTGTTTCTAGCTGTCCTTGGGAAAGTGACCAAAAGCTACTGCAGCAAGTTTATCAAAAATTTATACTTATACCGAAACCAGATTATAGCTCAAGATACTGTGTTTGGAGTTATCTACTGGGTAAATATAGTGCTATAAGCTGGCAGTTTGATACTAGTGTAGTCACTAAGATTTCGGATGGTTTTACTATAGGTAAGGCAGGAAAAATGCGTGCAACTCTGTTAAACATCATTATTCTGCTTCAGGTTCTATTGTCAACACTTTTGAAGAGGTGATGACAATTAAACGAATGTTGCAGCTTAGAGTGCATCCTCTAAGTCCATTAGAACTTGTGAATGTATTATGCACGAAAACCCCAATTTACAGAGAAGAAGAGGAAACAATAGAAACATGGTGGTTGAAAACACCCTTGTGCCGAAGACGTGCTAGAGCTGTGGAACTGTTATTAGAAGAAGAAGCAGAATATCAAGCCAAACAAGCAAGTGGTGCAAGCAGTTAATAATAATTAGTTAGTAATTAACTTATTAATGTTTATTATATACAACGGCTTTATAATTAAATATTTGTAAAAAATTAATATATAATTTATTATTTACTCTAGAAAAACCTTGTACGTTGCACACAGTAAACGGTCTAAATTTAAATATACATAGTTAAAAGTTTTTTCAACGAATCTGATACAACAACAGTGTTATGGATGACGACTGGAATTACGAACTGTACCCATTTTGTGTTAATATTAGGATTTATTCGGTAAATTTTTGAAATGACGTCATCAATTTTTCAAGAGAGATTGCATTTGTATTAACTATTTACCATGCTTACGATAACCTTAAAACCAAGACTTCAGAGCATTCGGTTTTGCAGTTTCAAGGTTAAATTTCATAATGTTGTTAAACATTTTGATTTTTTTTTAATCTGGACGTCTACCGTAAAAACTCAACACAGATTCATAAACCACAAGTGCAGCAGTATCTTGTTTTATAAAATTTATCTAAGTCATCTCGTTGCTGATGGAGATAAACAGCCAAATTTTGGTTAGCGTTTTATCATGTACATATAATCTAAATATTTTTATACATTCTCGAAAATTATCGTCTTATTTGAAAACTGCTCACGGTGACTATCATAAAAAGTATTCTGGCACTGCGTGCCTTGAACGTTGAGGTGAATTCAGCAAGCATTTGTTGGTCACGCTGCTGCTGTTCGGTAATTTTCCTGGCACTTAAAAGTTATGGATGATAATTAAGACAACAATTTCTCAGTTTTTTATTAAAATTTTGCAGCTATTGTATACTATGTAATAGGTAAGCTTATTAATGGAAGCGAGAGAAAAAAAAAATTTTAAAACTTCTTGAGCTACACAGTTTTTGTTGGTTTAGAATACTTATATTTTTTTGTATAATCAGGTTTCTTTGGAATTTCCAAGTGCGTTGATTGTTATGACCTGGGCGAAATAAAATTACATATTGAATACAAAACCAAAAGCTGAAGCTGCGTAAATAACACACTTTTCGCATACTTCATGAATTCACAACAAATATCCAACTAAACTTCCTCCTAATTTGAAGTTTCTTCTGCAGACAATATTTAATAGTTTTTTTAATTATAAATAATTAGTAGGTATGGTAATAAATTAAACGTACACTCTATGGGTGTCGGTACCTTATTTGTTCATACATACTGTCGCCTGAATTAATGCATTAGTCGCATTTTTAACAACATAAGGATATGAAATAATGATAATAATAATGCGAAATATTCTAAATTAAATTAATTCGGTTAATAAAAATTTGCAGTCAGTGCTAATTTTCCGGCGATATTCATTTGATGATGTGGTATCGAAATGTTATTGCAGCATAAATCCAAGCTCTAAAAAAACATTTTTCATTATCTTCTGTTTTGGAAATCCAGATTAAAGTTCACTTGTCGTGGCTAGCAAATATCGTTTTAACTGACATTGGTTTATGACCTCATTAGTAATTTGACCGGGCATACACATGTAACGTTGTTGTAATAAGCAGCCAAGGAACAATATTTTCACATGATATGGAAACTTGTTAGGAAATAACAATATTTTTCAAGTTTTTACAGATAATCAAATATTGTTTCTATGCAGTATATATTGTTTAAAATATCTAAACATCAGACTATTTGTAATATTTCTATAATTATATATATACAAGGTTATAATTGAAATTATAGTATCCCAGTCGTCTTAAATAGGTACTATTAATCAGCTCAAGTTTCACTGTCCGAAAACTAGAAATGTCATCTTTTTTATCATTGTTAGTTAGGAAATCAACTTCCAATTGACAATTTTAACGTTAAATTTTACAAGACCGATTCTAAATTTGATTTTTGCTCTACGTAAAAAAGTCGTAAATTACTAGTTTCAGTAGTATGTCACTTTTTACTTCATACACTAATATTTTTATGACGACTATTAACACTGACTAAATGTGCTGCTAATCCACGTGTTACTCGACTATGTCCCTTTTACACCTAACAGCTCCTTTTTACAGCATTTTAAGTGAAGAACGTGAATTTTTGCAATTTTCCAATTAAATATTAAAGGAAATAAGCACTCTGCTAATTTTACGGACATCATAACATTTTAAAAATATTTGCCCTTGTATGGGTTAAAGGTGATGTATATGAACGTCTACGAGAATTTTTCCATTCTGAAAAAAATGATCTAAGATTATTTACACAGAACTTCCCCCACCCATGAAGTATGCAGTCGAACAAACACAGCTTCTTCGAAAAATAAAAAAAAAATGCAAGTTTTATTTATTTTTATAGCAGCCCATAGAATTCAAAATAAAGATATGTGTGGACTGTTAAAGTACAGGTAAACAAGCATGCTATGCGTATGTTTCAAATGAGTTTTTCCGTAACACAATTTTCTGATGAGATAATAATTAATGGATAAATTTTGATTAACGATTTACGATGCTTACGAAAACCTAGATATCAAAAGTAAAATAATCAAGACGGATTCATAAACTGCAAGTGTTACATTTAGCTAACGATTACTTAGTAAATCAGTCACTTCTGCATAAAGTTAGTATAAAAGTAGAAACAATTGTTAATGTAACCAAGTTAGGTTCTAGGTTCTTCTTGTTGCTATCAAGAAGATAGTTTTCCATACAAATTTCGTTCACTAACAATGCTTGCTCCGAACTCCGGAACGCGAGTTGGTTTTCCTTCGGGAAAAATAAATATACCTAGTATTGCTTCAACATCTTCAGCGTAGCTAAATATTACTGTGAAATTTTGGTATTTATTATGAAATGGAATCCGTGTTTTATAAGAACATTTCCTGATTGATGTTATCGTCATTTATTATTTCAATATGTCAGAAATTATGGACAATTATTCTAACCTTTTAATTATATTTAAATTCAAAATATGTAGCAACCGCAACCAACCTAATAACTGTACAAAGATGAGTACTTGGAAAAGTAAGTACAAAAATAAAAATTTTGTAATGTTTAGTTTATTAGTTGCTCGTTCAATGAAGATCATTTTGAAGAGTGAAACGGCTTTCTAATTCAATCATTCAATAGGTATGTGTTATAATTTATAATTATAAAAATCACATAATGTAATTAACTTTCATATCACAAAAATGTCAAAAATACCAATCATTTAGCAATTTGTGATATTTTTTGAAATTCGATGACGAAATTCAAAACAAGCATGTGTTAAGTAACTAAAGAGGGAATAACCTCGAACTTGATAATACGGTTATGGAGAATGTAAATATGTGTTACATCTTCCTACTACAAATAACTTGGCCGGAAATTCGTTAATTATGCCATGATCTTCACAGGCTTCTTTAGCCTTGAGCAAATCAATAAGTAACTCATTTTCTTAGTAAAAAGACTGGAAAGTTATTTACACCGAACTTTCCTCTCTTCTGAAATACAATAAATGATGGGTTTATTCATTTTAGAGAAAATGCTATACATTTTTTGATACTGGTAGTTCTACGAAAACAGAACCGTGAGAAAATGCGTGATTTCAATAAAAATTTACTGAAAATTACATGAAAATTACTAAAGATAGAGTAATGAACTTTTTGACAGAAGTAAATACGTACGTACATTTTAATAGACGAAATAAGTACAGCTGATCATAATGTTACATAGTTACTATAATTTTGAAAAAAGCAAATGAACCTTTACTGAAATAATCAATAAAATAAATTGGCTCATATATTAAACTTTTGCGACATTTTATACAAGTATTTTTTTACAAGGAATATGATATTTACACTTTTTGATAAAAAATTGTTGTTGCAATGTGGCAAACCTAGAATGTTCAACCAAAAAACTTCAAAAGAGACAGACTGTATGACATTTTAAATGTTGTCATATTTTTACCAATACGTTACAAACTCATACAAAAACTCAAAAATCGATATGTAAAACCAAATAAAAAAAATTGCAAGTTATTGGTCAGGTCCAAAGAAATCTATTACATCGGACAACTTCCAAAGCACAGAACATGCACGTCACAAAGTATATAAGAGATATTCTGGGGTAAGTTGAATTTTTTTTTAAGTTTATTCCATTAAAACTTGCATTGTCGTTTCTGCGTTTAAGAAAGGGAATTTTTAAAACTAAAGGCTAAACTTCATGATTTCCTGATATTAAAAGTGAAAGTTATGAAAACAGTATTTATATTTCGAGAAATTTTTCGTGGAAAGGTGGCAAACCAATTTTACAAATTTCCGCTAATTAGCAGGTCAAATTTTAGGCTGTTACGATTTAATTTTGAAACCTGTCCTCTTCCATGGCTAGATTTTGAAATCTGGAAATGTCCCTGTCAGTAAGTCAAACACTTGTATATAGAAGTAATCAATAATCATAATCAATTCGGATGTGTACACTGCACTGTTATGGATGGCATTTGTAGCGTAATATGCGCCTCCGCTATGAATGAGTATCTGTATGTGTAAATTGCGATATTGATAATAATATGTTTCCCTATTTAAGCATATTTTGCAATAATTTCTATTGAATTTAACAAGATATAAAAACAAGAAAGATAATTTTTCAGAAAACAAAAACGGATGTAGCACTACTGTTATTTTTAAACAGTGATAATGTATAGTAGTACAATTTAGAATATCTGGCCTAAAAATAATAAATTATTATTTACAAAATTACATATCTACGTATTACGTAGGTACCATTATGGTAAAATTAAGTTACTGGCCTGAAAAAGATGACTTTGTTATTGTGAATTTTATCATTCAAACGTAAAACCCTATTTCTTACAAACGTAGAAAATAGTAACATCATTGTAACATTTATGAATATATTTACTTACGCAAACAATTTTTTTTTGTGAAAAATTTTAAATATTACCATTGTCAAGGTAAACTGTGTGAACCTGGAGAAACTGAGAACCCGACAGTGCTGTACGCATACGTTGCTTAGTAGGTAAGCATGTATGTACTTACTCCGAGCCGAATCAAAATACGGC